TGACATTCAGGTCCTAATCCTAGAACATTTAATTTTTCCATTCGAAAATATTCCTAGAGAAAAAGATATGCATCTATAACCTGATAACATTTATTAAATTCAGCTATATTAAAGACTAGTCGAATGCTGGCTATAAGACTGTTTATGTAATTTGACATCATTAATTGATTGTTAGTACGACTCGCAAATAAATATACATACAAGTTCTACTCATAAACAGTAATATAGACGAGCTACAACGCCACACCATACAAACATCTATGTCTAGACACAAAACAAAAAATAACTTTACTCTCCAACCAGCGCGTCTATGGTGCTATGGTGTCTTCACTGAGTTTGTCCTTATTATACTAAATCCTTGTGCAAGGCTTATCGAATCATCGCTATATTTTTTAAGAAAAATTTTTAGAAAACTTTACTGTTTTTATTTATTTTTCCTCCACTAATCGAATATAATTGACATTGCAATGACACTTACTACTAACCTAAAGTGTGCTAAACTATCTTACATTTAGATAATTTTGGTTCTTAAAACATTTCAAATGGTCGACAGATGGCGTCTACCAACGTAACAGCGAACTTAAGAAACAAGCACAAAGCGTGGTCTATCCAAAACCAAAAATAAAACAATAGTTTCTATAATATAGCTCAGTTTCTTTATTTCTTGTACATTTCACAACTGTCATGTTTTACAAAACAACCGAGTTTCTAGATACAAGTGCGCGCGGACTCGCTGCCCGGCGCCGCACGAGTAAAGGGAACAACAAAGAAAACTAAGTACTTTCAACATTACTCACAACTAATATCATTTTTTTACTAAAAAAATCCTCACTAAAACAGGAAACAGTGCTGTCTTCAAGCCCGTCAGTTTACGTCAATGTATCAATTGGGATGAAAACAGCACTAGACAAATAAAAAGTAACTAAAAGCTAATTAATCAAATTAAATGGGAATATTACTTAATCGATACCTAAACTGCTAAGTCCACAAACAAAATGCAGACGCATTCAACAGAGCATTGCTCCGCACTTAACAAAAACAAAGAAAACAAAGAAAAAATGGAAATGTATAAATGTGTAATAATATGAAAAAAAAAACATGTTACTGTGTCTAAAATTATATTAAAAAAAACTAACTGTTAATGTCTTTATAAGAGTGATCTAAATCACAAATTGTAAAAATAAGGAATTATTCAAAAATGTTGCCGCCTCGAAAAATTCGCCCGCTTTTCGATTTCTGTGGTAACTTTTTCGAATGAGGGATGTGGTGAAAGCGGGTGAATTTTTCTAGATTTTTTTTTATAGCGACAACCCCATGTCTCCCCCCCGCACTCGTAGTGGTGTGCCTGTGTGTGTGTGTGCCGTCCGTCTTGATATGTGTGTGTGTGTCGGCCCCCTCACGCCGTTAGCTAGAAGCAAATAGTATTTAGTGAGTGATGAATGTTCTGAAGTCTCAGTTTTGACCGAAAAAGGTTTCGAGGAGAATATCTGTTCGAAGGGAGGCGAAGAGAAATGTAATTACTGTATTACTGTCCCTTTTAAGGCCATACTGTGAAATGTTAAGTACCTAACCGAATGTATTGTCAAATAATGAGTAGAAAAAGGAAAAAAAGAAAAAATGTAATAAAAAACCAAAAAAAAAGAACTAAAATTTGAGCAAAGACTGTGATTAAGTGAAAAAGACATGTAATATTTTATGTAACTCTATACATTTCACTAATTTTATTATTTGTCACTGTGATATGTAGTTTCGAAGCATATTATACACATACGGACGTACGCTAGACGTAACTTAAGAAGAAATTGACATTTCCCATCGGACAAGCGACTGTACAATCGGGCACAACAGGCTTACAATTATAATTAAACATTGTATTCTACAAATCTAGGTCAGCGTATTTTAAGTACAAATCTATTAATATTAAGCTTAAAAGCATTGTGTTGCCACACAAAAAATATAAGGTGTTGTGCACGAGTGTACATAAATATACACAAACATATCTACATGTATATATAGCTGTTTACAAATTGACATAGCACATACACGCTTTTTATTATCCACATAAGATATGTCATTCCTTTTGACAAATATATTTATTTATACTAATTTTATATTACTACTTGCTAGCGCGAGATTTCAAGGCAGCTTCTCTGAATAATAAAAAATAAAATACAATTTTAAAAAATAAATATTGTTTTCGTAAAAATATCTATTTCTCTGCTTATCTATGAATGGATGATTCTAATAATTTACTTTTATAAACGAAAATCTTGCAAAATATTGCAATTGTTGTAAAAATATTAAACTATCTGAACATTGAAAAAAAAATTTTTAGTTATAACAATAAACTTATTATGTAAACCAACACTTCATTAATTTTCATAAATACGTCATCTTCACAATATTTCATTAAAAGATGTTCTTTTCCATTTTTCAAGACAAGCAGAAAACAAAATAAAATAAAAAAAAAACAAATTTTGAAATCGAAAAAAAAAACTGTGCAAATCTCGCGCACACAATTAAAACTGGAAATTAACTAATTAAAATTTTCTTAAACATGTAACACTGCCTTTATTATCCACTCATTTATAACTATTTATTTATTTTTATTGAATAATGACACTTAAGTACATGATTGTACTTTTATAACAACTAAACACTTTGACTAAAAGTGAGGTGTTTCTTCGTGAAAAAAACAAGAAACATCTAAGTATAAATATATTCTTTTAAAGTTTTCAAAATAATCAACAATGAATAATGACAGCTTAAATACTCCTTTTTAAAAATTATTTAGAATATTCAGTGCCATCTAGTGGACAAAAAAGACAACTTTTCCGCCAAAGTCCGTCTGCCCGGACCGATGCAAAACATTTTTTATTTAGCCCTTACCATGTACGTACATACAATAGTATTTTCTATATATATATATTTGTTTTATACATATTTATTTTAGTTCTAACTTTCTCATATAGACTTTGGCTTAATTTTTGGCTTACATAAGTCAAGGAACGAAAAACCGGGTGGTGTTTCGAAAAAAAAAATACAAAAAAAAACTATTATTTTTTTTTTAGAAAAATGTCAAAGTCGTCGTAGATAGATAAAGGTAGAAAAGATTGGAAATACTTTAGAAAAATCGTTTTAAAATCTTTTTAGGAAAATTATGTTTACAAAGATTTACTATAAGAATAGAGAAATATTTTCATCATCCAAAATAATTTTAGCATTTTCAAGATCGAAATATAGCAACGTAGCTTCGAAAACAAATGAAAAATTGACCGATATTTCATAATATATATTAAAAAAAAATTAACAATTTCTAAAAAAGTCCATGTGACATTACATTTTATTTGAAATCGGTAAATATTTTCAGAGGTCTAGCTTACTGATGACCTGAAATTGATAAGAAAGCAGGTAAGTAGGTAAATTCGTACCTACAATGTTTTCTTAACTCGTCGAGTACCGGTTTATAGACACAATTAAAGAACAATAGGTCGCGGTCACCGGTGACCGCTTGGTCTTTGACAGTTTAATGGACATTCAATAAACGAAACATCCAATAATTCTTTACCTAAGACGATAGCTTAGGTAAATAATTATTGGATGTTTCTTTATACTAAGGAGGAGGCTAGCTGTGGAACGAACCAACGACATAGTGAGGTAACAAACAAAAACTAAAAAAGGTCAAATCAGAGGTATTTAAATATATATAAAGTTTTTGAACGACGTCTGAAAACACTTACCATAGTTAAAAAGACTAATTCACAGTAATTTTCCAAAAAAATAAAAAAAAAATCCAAAAAAAACTAAAAATTTTTTTTTTAAGTTTTTGTTTTTCTGCTGTTGCTATATTTTGATCCATTAATAAAAACTGATATCTCTATATTTACGCTTTTTCAAATTATATTTTATATTTTTCAAGCATTTTCGACTGTGTGTTCTTATAAGACAAATGTTTTTTAAGCTCGACAAGCATACAATAATGAATTTTCAATTATGTAAAAAAATATATACTAAAAAATTGATAAACGATATTTTTACAATGATTAAAATAAAATAGGATTGTTTTTTGAAAGAAATAAGAAATGCAGAAAATGCAATAAGTTGATAGAAAAATAATTATGTCGCGTAGAAAAATAGGTTAAAAGATTTAAATATTATTTAAACCAAAAGAACAACTATTAAATACACATTCAACAGCGAACAGAAATTGTGAAAATGATGAATTATATTAAATTTCAAGGCATGAGAAAAAAAATTGTAGAATAGATAGTAACACCAGTGAATAACTTGATCGTAACTTAATCTTACATTTTATTTTAAGTAATCTGTTTACAAAACACTGCTGTTTTCCCTTTACTTAAATAAATAATTATTTCCTAGGTATACAATTTCACAAATGTCTTTCTGCAATAAGAACACACATCGATTTGAATAAAATTTACAAGCAAATATAGAGATGATCAATACAAATCTATGGTCCCTAACATCGAAGATTGAGAAACTCATGTTTCTATAGGAAATAAATACAAAAAGTTCAAAACCGAATCAGTCTGACATTATGCGATAAATTTTGACTAGAAAGAGACGAAAAGCATTATTGTATTTAGAAGCCTGAACTAGGCCGAAGTTTCCTAAAAAAAATGTAAAAAAAATAGAAAATAAAAGAAAAATGGCAGGATATTTCGAGATTAAAAGTATTATATTGACTATAATTTGCCTCCTACCTACTTTGTGCAGACAAAACTTTATATATAAACTACAAATATAACCGAGAAACTTAACATTATTTTAATTTATTCTTTTCCTCCACTCTGGTAACACATAATCTTTGGCTTGCCAACAACGAAAACTAATGCACATAGACAACATCAGTGTTGCACGTTAAAATATCAATCCGATACAACATTGGTCCGACACCATTAAAAAAAATGTACATGTCTTTTAAAACACTTTGATTTTATATACGTTTTTTTTTTCTATACATAAAGTGAATTTATTTCTTACTAGTATTCATGTTCAGCCAAGCCGTTGTTTTGACCTTGTCTCTGGTTATTTTGATCTTGATTTTGATTTTGACTCTTATTAGGATTTTGGCCCTTCCCTTGGCCAATTTGTCGCGACGACGAAAAGCAGAGTTTCATTACAAACGGGAATTTTGCACCTGAAAAAATTAATTTACGTTTTAAACATATGTTAAGTCCATGGAGGGAGCAGGTAGCTGGTACAGTTTGGATAATGTTATCTATTTCCTGGTATCGCGTCCGTCGTACCAATCCAAACTCTGTGCTACTACTAAGAATCTTTGAAAACCAAGAAATCCAATAAACAATCTGTGACTCAAGAATCAAATCTGAGACACATTTTCTTCATAGACTCCTTGGCAACAAACTATGTTTTGTTACACAATAGTGTGGTTCCTGAGGAAACCTTAGGTGTACAATTTATTACCGTTTTGACCACGCAGGTAAAACCGTGGGCGGAAATCTAGATTGTGTAATGAAAAAATGGCTATATTTGTACCTGGATGCTGAATAGTTGCATGGTTGCAGGCCATTATCGCCATCACACTCTGCGAGATATTCTGGAACTCCATCAGTCCTGACGACGACCTGGAACAGTTTGGCATAATAATATTAGTTTATTATTGTTTATTCAAGGTCAAAGATCAATGTGTAAAGTGCAAAGTCAATATCAAAGGTCAATGTGTAAAGTGCAAAGTCAATGTCAAAGGTCAAAGTGTTCAAAGGATGATTTTGTGTTTGGTAAAATATATATATAATTCCTTTAGTCATCAAAAAATATTTATGTGGACAAAACGAGCTAAGTAATCTATAGGCAAATATATCTCTATATTTGGCAAGCGCCTTGGAGATCTCAATTTAAAAAGGTTCAGGTTTTTCAAAGAGCGCTATCGTCCGTCAAATATGAAATCCCCAGCTTTTACGAAGCAGGGATGGTGACAAATCTACCATCAGTACATGGATAACAGCAGCTGTAGCCAAATACCACTTAGCGCTTGTCTACATGTAGAATAGAAAACCAAAAATTGACGTAATTTTGACACTTGTCAGTATCATCCCCATAAATTTTGATTTCTACTCTCTCTGTAGACAAGCGCTAAAGTGGCGTTTGGCTAAAGGCACAGAACAGTCAAAAAGGCGAAATCTTATACTGTACTTCTATATATATAAAAATGAAACCCGTTTCCCGTTGTCACGCCATAACTTGAGAACGGCTAGACCGATTTGGCTGATCTTTTTTTTGTTGTGTTTGTTATTGTCAAGAGATGGTTTTTAAGGTTCATAAAAAATCCTGAAAATCCTACAGGGAACGGGAGAAAACGGATTGTGCGTACGAAGTCACGGGCAGAAGGTAATGTCTTATATATTACACTGTTTTATTATATAAAGCTGAAGGCTTTGTTTGTTTGAACGCAACAATCTCCGTAACTACTGGCCCGAATTGAATAATTATTTTTGTGTTGGATAGTCCATTTATCGAGGAAGGCTAAAGGCATCAACATCACGCTATGATCAATAAGCGCTGAGAAGAGCGGTGACTCAGGAGTCGCTAGCTTACAATAAATATAGACGTTTACCTTTCACTTTTCAGCGGGAACTTGGAGATAGTGTGTGGTGGGGTGACGCCGTAGTCTTTGAACACCTGCAGGAGTTGCTCGTCCGATACATCGGGCGGCGTGTTGAAGAAATGCAGCACCTGCGTTGTATTAATACATCATCATCATCATCATATCAACAAAAATGACATCACATCTTAAATACTAATGGCTATAAGCTCTGGATGTGGCTCGAAATTAGTCGAGTTGCCTCGTCAAACAGATATGTGATTATTGATTAAGTCCTACACTGCCCATGGACTGTAGTTTGGGCCCATTTCCATCGTGCATATATAGACAATTTGTCAAAATATGCTCATTTCAAAAAGAGTTATCTAACAGCGTTCTGGGAAGAAGGGTTCGACCATTGTAAAATTGTGTGGCCTAATACAATAATGTATGGAAAACTTTATAAAAATATATTGCCGCGTGCATTCTGCTTATGTTTATAAGCCCCAGGCGTGGCCCGAAACTAATCCAGTTACCTCGTCAAATCGTTGTGTGAGTAAGCCATATCATCAACAGCCTATAAATGCCCACTGCTGAGCAAAGCCTCTTCTCACACGGAGAAGGTTAGAGCATTAATCACCACGCTTGCTCAATGCGGGTTGGCGATTTCAAACTTATAATTAGAAATTATAAGTCCAGGTTTCCTCACGATGTTTTTCCTTCACCGTTTGTCAGTGGTGTCTAAATAATCTCAGAAAGTACATATAACTCGGAAAAAATCACATTGGTACTTGCCGTTGGTAGGTTTCGAACCCGCACCCTCATACATGAGAAGTGGGCGTCTTAAACCTCCGGGCCACCACGACGTATACGACTTAAGCCGTATAAGAATGTTTAATATCCTTGCTTACCTTAGAAGGCGGCTGTATTCTGTTCTTATGTATAGAGGCAGGGGTCAGGAACCTATTGTTCTTGTTTCCGACGTAATCTTTGAACGACGGACTCTTGTCCGGGAGTGGGTACGGGTTCATTACCTCGGACAGGTACGCTTGTTTTGAGAAACTGTAACAGAAAAGAGTCATAATTATATGAATACTAGCTTTTACCCGCGGCTTCGCTCGCGTCACAAAAGGATAAAAAGTAGCCCATGTGACATATACCAATACACACAGCGCCATCTATACCAATAATTTCGTTTTCCCTCGAGAATATCAAATTTTTCTGGGTTAAAAAGTACCTTATTATTTAATCCAGACTTCTAACTTCACGTCTGCAAAAATTCTGCAATCGGTTTAGTAGTCACGGCGTGAAAGTGGAACAAACAAACAAACAAACTCACTTTCCGATTTATAATATTAGTAAGGATGAATAAGTTTGGCATAATCGTGAAACATAAAATTTTGTTTCAAAATAACTGATGATTATTTTTTAAAAAAAACTGTGTCATAATCCGTTGTGTAGTTTTAACGATTGAAACATAATTGGGGACAGACAGTGGAATGGAACAGTACTATGTGGTGATTAAGAAAAAATATAAATAAAATACAACATTACAGTAACATATACTCACGCCAACGTTAACGTGTAGTCGCCGACAGTGACGTTGTTAAGGTTCTGAACACATCGCTCCACAGACACTGCGTCGCCCATCTGGACCATCGCTGTGCCTTCTTTCGTTTTCAGAAATTTTATCTGAAAACATAGAAATAAATATATTAAAGGCTATAGAAACATAAGGCCATAAGAAATAAACATAGAAATGACTGCACGGTTGGTGCGATGGCTGGGCAACCGGCTGCCGTGCAACGTGTCGCGGGTTCGATTCCCGCACGGAACAACACTATGTGTGATCCACAAATTGTTGTTTCGGGTCTGGGTGTCGTGTGTATGTGAACTTGTATGTTTGTAAACGCACACACGACACAGGAGATAATCTTAGTGTGGGGCAACATATTTAAAAAAAAATATATATATATATATATATTAAAGTTCTATAAGCATCATTTCAGCTGAACATAATCCTTCTATAAATAATAAAACAAAATTAAGTGTCGTGGTGGCTCGAGGGTTCAAAACATACCAACGGCAAGTACCAATGTGAATTTTTTCGAGTTATATGTACTTTCTGAGATTATTCAGACACCACTGACAAACGGTGAAGGAAAACATCGTGAGGAAACCTGGGCTTACAATATAAGTTTGCAATCGCCAACTCGCATTGAGCAACCGTGGTGATTAATACTCGAAGCTTCTCCGTGCGAGAAGAGGCTTTGCTCAGCAGTGGGCATTTATAAGCTATTGGTGTCTTCACTAAAATCTGTCAAATCGGCCGGTTGGAAGCAAAGAAGTGAATATTAGATCATTTATTTAAAAACTAGCTGACCCGGCAAACGTTGTTTTGACATATAAATAATTTCGTAGAAGGGTGAAAATTGAGGAATGTATGTATTTTTGTATGTTATATCATAAAAAAATAGAAATTAAAAATTTTGTTCAAAAAAATTAAAAAAAGTTTAGGGGTGGGCAACTCCCAACATTTAGGGAGATGAAAAATAGATGTTGGCCGATTCTCATTGATACCAGATAAGCACAAAAATTTTCATCAAAATCGGTCAAGCCGTTTCGGAGGAGTATGGCAACAAAAACTGTGAGAGAATTTTATATATTAGATAAAGAAAAAGTATTTGGAATGAGCTGGCGACGGCCTCACAGAAAACCAGGTTATCAGTGTACTGAGCGAGTGAGGTTACCAAAGACCAGCAAGGCACTTGTTAACCATTGGCGACTCGCTGAATATGGTGATACTTTATTCGATAAAAATATAATTTTGCGGTATATACTTACTCTTACAACGTTGCCGTAGAGACAGCAGAGGTTGAACAGTCGGTCAGCATTCACCGTCTGAGGGTCGAGCCCGTATACCATCATCACGGCGCCTTGCTGCGGTGGCCCGCCCTGCGGTAGCAGGGAGCAATTTATTCAAGTTATTTTAATTTTATTAATACAGAGCAATGGTACAGGCGAATACAATGCATTAGACATTATTTTTAATCGACCTTTAGGTAGTGTAGAAATGGAAGTAGCGGGTTAAGTACTGATTCCTGAAGATACCTATAGTCAAAAATCGCGGGTTATTTACGTGAATATACTGAGAAAAGCCGGCAGAGGGTGCGTTGAGCTCGCAGCGCCAACGCTAGCCAGTAGGCTGCACGACATGCTGCTGCTCATGAAGAAGAACCCCTCTGTGCTTCGAAACTAGTAGAGCTTTTCTCAGTATATTCACGTGAATAACCTGATTTTTAGTTAATTTAGTATGTCTAACGATAGTTATTATAAAAAGATAGCTATAGTTCTATACACCCCTTATTTTTTCGCTCTTAGAGTTTATAATTACCTGATTCTGTGGTGGCATGGATGGGTGATGCATGGGCGGTGGTGGCACGAATCCCTCACCGCCGTAGCCTTCCGGTCCATAGCCACGCTCACGCTGGAAAATAAAAGATAATTTCATATCATCATACTAATCACCCACAGGACCATAGTCCCCTACTGAACTGAATAAGGCCTTTCTCAATGTAATTTCATCATCATCATCATCAGCCTGTATTCGTCCACTGCTTGACATAGGCCTCTCTTATGGCACGCCACTGAGCTCGGTCTTCAGCTCTTCTCATCCAACCACTGCCAGCCACCTTGCAGATGTCGTCACTCCAGCTAGCTGGAGGGCGCCCTACACTACGTTTGCCTAGACGCGGTCTCCACTCTAGAACACGTTTACCCCAACGGTTATCGGTTCTTCGACAAATGTGACCGGCCCACTGCCACTTCAGCTTACTGATCTTTGGGCTATGTCGAACTTTGGTTCTCTGTCGAATCACTTGTAATTTACTTATTTAATTAACAAGGAATACTATTGAAATTGCCTGAGAATATGAAAAATGTCCCGTTGGTCGGGTTTCGTGTTTAACTTTTAGATTAGACATTTATAATGAGACTTTTTACAAACACACTCACTTTTCGCCAGGTTTAGATAAAAGTATATAAGGGCGAATATTTTTTCATACACCGGGGACGACCTCACTCTTTGATTTTGACAAGGTGTTTTCACCAACAAGTCAGTTTAGACAATTTTTTTTTATATGGCATAAGCCGGTGAACGAGCAGACGAATCACCTGATGGTAAGCAATCGGCGTCACCCATGGACACCTGGAACACCAGAGGCGTTACAAGTGCGTCACCGGCTTTTTGGGGATTAGGAGTTTGAGGATCGTTGGGGATTCAGGGATTGGGGAGATTGGGGAAGGGGAAGGTAATCGGGCCTCCGGTAACCTCACTCACACGACGAAACAACGCAAGCGTTGCTTCACGTCACGAGCCGGCCCATTCGTGCCGAAGCATGGCTCTCCCACACTTATTTGCATAAGGTATATAATTACCGGATGATGTGGAGGTGGCGGCCCGTGTCTGTCCTTCATCATGCCCGGAGGAGGAGGTCCTCCACTGCCGTAGTCCATATCTGTAATAAACAAATATAAATTTAGTTATATATTACATAACATATATGTTTATAACATGTAACACCCGTGTTTCGCCAGTTATGTTATGTGTCCCATAGAATAGCGGTGAACCTGGTGGCATACAAAAATGTACAATTCCAAGTACAAGAGGATTTTCGAAAAATCGAAAATATCCAAAATGTTTAGCTCAAATTGGTTTTCAAATGAGACAGTTTTGGGAAAATATCACATTAAAATTTCTCCTGTGTCCATGCGATTACAAATATGAAGTTTGCGAATGCTCATACACTTTGTAAGAATATAAATATATTCTATGTTATTACTTGGGCTTAATAATTTTTTGTGTCATTATAATTATAAACTAAAACTATATATTGGTTGTTGGTGTTCAAAAAAACATTGTAATCATTTAAAATGTCCACAGAAAAAAATCCTGTGAAAAATAAACATTTTTCGTCGTTTTCCTAAATCTATGAAGGAACATTATGCATCACAGTGCAGGCAGGATGCTGTGTCAGTCTTCAGACAAGTGCTACATGCATGCAGGGGTCATTTTAAATGAAAGTCGAGTGTCACATTAAATGTATTTTATTGTATAAAATGTGTTATAAGTACTTATAACTATATTTGTATTGTAATTTTCGTGAGACATACTAAATAAATTATTATGTTTTCGGATTACACACGTAATAATTTGACGAGGAACTCGACTAGTTTCAAGCCGTGCTAGAGGCTCAGTAGCAGCGCGAGAGTCGCCGCGTCGCGGGTCGCGAAATGCTGCTCATGAATGAATGCCTCTAGCATGGCTTGAAACTAGTCGAGTTCCTCGTCAAATTATTACGTGTGTAATCCGAAAACATAATAATTTACTTATAACTAGTTTTAAATGTATTTTTGTAACCTATAAGTAATGTGTGTTTTACCAATCACTAACGGTTGTACGAAGATTGAAAATTGCGTTCAGTGGGTAGATTTTAGAGGTATATGTTCAGCAGTGGTCGGCATGAAGCTGATGATTATTATCATTTATTTATATAAAAAATGTGTCCATTAATTTTTTGTCATATATTATTATGTACATGTTATAATTTCGAATGTATTTAAAAATGTAATTATAGTGTTTGGTAAAACATAATTAAAAATAAGTATATATTTTGTTAGTTTGTACAGTCTATTTAATATATTACACATATTATAACTATAATTATAATGATAATGTTGTCGATATTTCTTTTAACAGAGGTAATTGTATAAGTATAAATGAATGACAATAAAAATGTATGTTTCCACGTCTTGACATATTCAATAAGGTATGTGTATTTTAATGAAATGAATGATTTCAGACTCGAATCATTGTGATTTTAACATAAATGAAATTGTAATGAATACTTAAATATGTAACGAACAGAGTATGAATAATAAATAATAGCTTTTCCACGGCAAAATGACGAGCCCTCTATAGAAGTATAAACTAGAATAATTCGTATGGGTGTTCGACATTAAACTTACGCAAAATGTCAGCTGATTCATGACCGCGGGTGTAATGACCTCACGACCAGTATTACTATTGTTTAAAGTCGATTTCGAGTTTATTTTATCACATTTTTTTTCTATAAAATATTATAATTTAAAGGTCTTATAAAATAGTTTATTCTACTACCAACACAAAATGATTTGGTCAATGGAAAACAGTAATGTGGAAATTCATGTTGTAAATATTGTAAAGTAAAAATTCGGGTTCCAAGTTATGGTTAGTGACGTAACAGCCCCACAAAATAAGTCTACAGGTTACAATCATGTGACAATAAGACAGAAATTGCAATAACGATATAACCACAACACTAGGACTAGAACACACAACCGTATTTAAAGACTGGAAGTTATAGATTTCAAAATACACGTAGCCTTTCTTTTAAGGGCAAATATCGCCATATTTTTTAATATAAATCCATAGAATAGTCTTTAAATAAGTTTGTTCATTATAGATATTGTTACACATAGGTTGGTTATTTGGTCTTAGTGAACAGTAATGCTTAAATCATGCTCTCAACTCGAGACGAAATTGCTCAAAATGCTTTGACTAATATTCTCTCATTTTCTTTCATAATTACTATCTATTTATTTCCACGACAATCTTCAATATCGAAATTACATTTCATTATATGTACTTCAATTGCTGTGCAACTTCTTGCCGGATCGGGTAAAGAGTGCAAGTGTAACCAGACTCTGAAAATTTAACAGTGCTTAACTGCTGTGTTTTGAACAGTATGAAGTATATTAATCCATCGGTCAAAGAAATCAGACAAAGCTAATCAGATACCTGAAAAATCTGACAGCGGGTCTCTTAAAAGGTATCAATCAAGAGTGGTTTGTGCATGTGATTCTAAATCCTTCTACATGGTAGAAAAGGTTTTTAACCTACTGGTTAAATGAGATACTTCCCAGTAATAAGAGAGTTATAGATTGACAAACCAGTAACATGCCGTAGTAAGATGCTAACCTTAAATCATTTAAAACCAGAGATAGAAAACAGAATATTTTGTCAAAGCATTCACTTAACTTTAAATCCTAAATATTCCCATCCAAATGTCCATATCGAACTTGGAATCTATTTAAAACACCATGCGGTTTTCTAAAATCTAGACACACGTAGCTTCTTCGCACACGACGCGTATTGTAAGCGTATTGTTAGGCCAGAGCATAAGCAGCGTGTCGTATACGACGATCATTGTTGCTTTGTTGTGCTGTCGTAAAGTTTCTTGCTCATTTGTTTCCATGTAGACTATGTTCCACTAAAGACGGAGGTTATCTTCACTACTGAGGACTTATCATAAGACGATGTTACTATAACACGAGGTCTTTTTTGTCCAATAGAAAATATCTAGTCCAAACTATTGGACAATAGGGTAGACGACTAATTTTAATTTTAATGTCCGTCTCTTCGAAACGAATAGTTTCGAAGATATATTGATTTGAAATGTTGCGTGACGTCACTTCTCAGTACATTTTATACTAAGAAATGACGTTTTAGCCCCCACTCTAAATTCTGATTCGTTTTATCTAAGTATTGGTTTTTTATACGACAAAATAAAAAATACGTGTGTAATAGGTTTTAATTACCTGATTTACGGACTAATCATATTTTTAATTTTCATACCCTATCACCATCCCCATTTTATTAGTATTTGGCAGTCAGTGTCTGAACAAATAAGACCAGACGAAATATAAGCGCTATCTAATGAGCAGGGATACGGTATCCTCATTGAATGATTGCTATTTTGAAGTTTCAAAATAGTCTGTATTTTTTATATGTCGTAAAGATACGCTTTCAATACGGTCGTCGTGAGCGAGTAAGCTAGACCATCCACATCACAATTTTGGTGTGAGTTACAAGAGGAAAGTTAACACATTGAAATAGGGCAAGTCCATTATATCTATACACACCGTTTTGCGACTGTTCACACGAATGTTGGCTATGCTGACTGCAGGAGTCTTCGGAACAGGCTCTGGTCGGCTGTGATGAGGCTGAAGCATCTGTTGATATGCCACTTAATAAATCCAACCTTTCTTTCTCGTTCATTCGATGGTTGTGTTCTTGGTCTTTAATGTCACTGTGTTGTTGTGTGCTTGAATATCTTGATTAGGTTTGTGGTGACGGGAAAAGCGCGAAATTTCAGTTTTGTTCAGTAAATTGTGCATTTAGAGACATAATAGCATTCATTCATTTTTACAATCGAAATCGATAAGTAAAGATCTTCTGTCAAAAACATATTAAGATCGGCCATTAATTTTGGTTGATAGTGTACCACGTCTATAAGACGTCTGTGATTGTGTCATTAGGTATACCGAAGCGCCAATAGCCAATAAGCAATATACAAAAATACAAATAAAAAAGGCAGCATCAATCGATCACTCAATGTCCATAACCCTGCGCAAAATATCGCATTTAAGCTTAACTTTACTCCAAATAAATCCGACGGTTGAAAAACGTTTAAATACAACTTTTAACGCATTTTATATCACATTAAACCCATTAATGGATATCAATAAACATTTTAAGGGACGCCATTATGAGCGTAATTGTTTAAAAGCATACATTTTACGCGTGGTTATAACCAGGGTGTAATATAATTATATATTTATGTTTACGCTAATGTCAATTTTGTGTTTGTAGCTTATATATAATGGTATTGCGAATGTGTTCTGTTCATAATGTAATATTGTAATGCTAATCCGTGTTATGCTGTAATATTAATTTTCGTAGCACAAACGACAAATGGAACGTTTGGGATTTGTAATTAAAACGCAATTCGTTCAATATACAACTGCAAATAGTTTCATTTTAAACGATGTGCGAAAACTAAAATCGGCACACACCAATTCTCCCATCATCGTCATATATTTGTTTTGTAATACTTTTATTTGAGAAAATTCTGAGAATTGAAAACAATCGTTGACAGTTGTGAATTTGGAACCAAACAATCTAAAAAAGCATATTATTTCCATTATTTAACACGTTAACCGCCGCGTAGGTCACCGGTGACCTACGTTAGCGGAGGCCTTGCCTTCAACAGATGTCTATCGGCAGTCAAAGGCCTAAATAATATTAAAACAGGTTTTACTTTCCTAAATATTATCATATAACATATTTGAGCTCTCTACCTGGATTTAGAAGCAACGAGTATTATATTCACCCCGGGTTGAATTCAGGGCGAAGTAGGGAGAGTTCACGCATCAATTTTTAAACGCTACACAAGCAGGTGTTACTGTCTGTGCATCTGTTATCTACACTAGAATTTCCCGTGTTTTAGTTACACATTTTTAATGAGATTTTTTTTATGGCATAACCCGGTAAACGAGCTGACGGATCACCTGATGGTAAGCAATCGGCATCGCCCATGGACACCTGGAACACCAGAGGCGTTACAAGTGCGTTACCGGCCTTTTGGGGATTAGGAGTTTGAGGATCGTTGGGGATTCAGGGATTGGGGAGATTGGG